GTTTGAGGCTCCCCTCCTCCACGCGTGGGCTTGCGTTCCCTTCTTTTCCATCCTCTTTGTCAGCTTCTCTTATTACCCTTCTTTCCTGCCGACCCAGCTCTCACGGAATACATTTTTGTTGTGTGTCTAGCTTCCTGTTGTCTGTACTGTAGTTTTGGGTACCCCAAACAATTATGTTATTTGGGAAGCTGGACGTGGAGGGCCCCCCCACCGGGTTGTATTATGCCTAAGGGACGTCACTAAATCACTGGGGTATTTGTTCACTCTTCTCATAATGGGAAATTCTATATTTCTTCAGACCCTTCACCTTGTCGACTGAGCCCCTTACATTGCTTTGCAAACTGGTGTCATAAACAGCAGACTGCTTTTCCACGATTCTTGAAACGTAGCCACTTCTGGTCTGAGATGTTATGGAAAGAAAAACACAGTAACAGGCATTTTTGTTATTGTTAACGTTTTTGCCTTTGACTCACCGAGGTTATTAAATAGAGAAATCTCTTTTTTTGTCTCTCCCCATACACCTTCCACTCCCTGTGTCCTGTTTTGGGGTTATATGATTTCCTGGGAGGTGGTGGGGATCAGTGGCAACCACTATTGGAGAACTGAAACATTTTGGCTATGTATCAATTGATAAAAGTGCTTTGAGATCCTAAACCATTGTCCTTTAAGATTGGACTGATTGTTTCCTTTGTGAATGGGAAGTATTGCTGGCATGTAAACTAGTGATGAAAGGCCTAAAAATGTACTGTTGTGTTTTTTATTTTTAACGCCCCCTCCTTGCTAAATGTGTCCTAACTGGAAAGTACCCTTAATAGGTTAAGGGTGGTGGGGAAAGGGACACTGAGGTCATTTCAACAAAGCATCTAGGGAAATAGTTGCTCTGTTAAAGGTAGCAGGCCTTACCTATCCCAGTCCAGCTTCAGAATTTCTGAATTGTGTTACCAGTTAGATTGTAAGCTCCCTGAGGGCAGCAACCAAGCCACAATGCTTTTGTAATTTCTGAAGTATTGGACACATAGTAGATACTCAATAAATACTTGTTGTTAATTTTTTTCAGTAAAATTTCTCTGGCTATTTTTTAAGTAGCTGGTTTTCAAAATACAATCAAGGGCACTCCTGTGTTGAAAGTTTTATTTGCCGCCTGCATTATTCCCTTGGTCAATAGTCTCACTCCACGTCCCTTAAATATTTCAGTTTTATAAGAAAGTAACAAGATTCTTCTCTCCCACTGTGATAGCTCTGGATATTTGTCCCAACTTGCTACTAAAAAGCTACTGATTCTTTGCCCGTGAATGATCCATCCCCGATCACCTACTTTTGACCTGTTGCTCAGTGTTACAGCCTAGGTGGAGAGAGTTGTTAGTTGATGGCAAGCATAATCAGTAGAATTTTTTTTCTTTCCTTGTCTTTCAAGATAACTTTCTAAAATATTTATATCTGACAGATAAAATATGTGTACCTTATGTTTATAAAATAACTAATTGTGAGTTGACTTTAGAAATGGAGTAAAAAGCAGCCAGTATTTGTGAAGTTACAGGGGTGGGTTGGAAATGATTACTCTGCATTAAAAATGTCATTTTTGAGTCAATTTTAAAACATAATAGTTTCCTCTAGTCTTGATTTTTTTTTTTTTTTCCTCCTCACCTCTCCATTTGGATTCAGGGGCCCATGGTTAAACAATGAAGTACTTATTTTTTGTAAAATGTTGAAACGATCATAATACCAGTCTGGGAAAATGGACTACTGTGTAGCAAATAGTCTTATAGTAGCTTGGAACACACTTTTTTTGTGTACATATAAGTAGCGGGAAGAGGTAATGGTTAAAAATTAGCCCTGAAGCTGCCTTAAAAAATCTTTCTTGGTGATAGGGAGTGTGAACTTCTTAAGACCACCTCAAATGACAAAAGACCCTTGCAACCTTTTGACACCTTGGTGAAGAATTTACCCACAGGGAAGTCAGCTTGCTTTAACATAAAGAAACAGGTGAAATTCATTTTCCTAATAGTTAATCCACGTATCTTTTGAAGCCCTCCTCTTTGAGAATTCAGCTATGTCTTTTGTATAGCCTAGAAGTATCCCATCTATTTTTATTAATGAGAAAAACAAGGAGCACAAAAGTATGAATCTGTTCCTTTTGGAAATAAGTGCAAAACACCCCCCCCCTTTTGAGACAGGGTCTCTCTTTGTGGTTTAGGCTGGCCTTGAACTCCCTTTGTAGCCCAGGCTGGCCTCACACTCAGTGATCCTCCAGTCTTGGCCTCCATAGTACTGGAATCACAGGCATGCGCCACCAGGGTAGTCCATAATCTTTTTTTTTGTGCAGTCTTGTCATGTGAATGTGTTCTTTGTTTACTAAATGCAGCAGCTGAGATTGCATTATAAAACAAAGTATGAATGAAGGGACCCTTGAATTTAGTAGGATCTTTGCTCAGTAGAAATCTTTTTTTGTCCTTTCTTTTTTTTTTGGCAGTACCAGGATGGAACTTGCACTTGTGAGGCAGGTGCGGTGTCACTGAGCTCAATCCCTGGCCCTAGAAATCTTAAAAAATATGTTCTGGAAGGCCCTGTTTGTTGTCCCTTTAAAGACTAAATTTGTCTTGCATGGCATTAATGTCTCAAATTTAAAATGATTTTCTAGAAACCCAAATAAAATTTTGTGATAGGTGCGTTTGGTTTGGGACAAAGTTGGGATTCCCTGTACATTAAGGTGAGTGGTGGAGATAATTGCAGTTCTGGTTATTTGAAAGTGTGCATAAGACCCAACAGGAGCAGCTGTAAAAGCATTGTATCAGAATTTCCATGAGGGAGTTGGGACTCTGGACAGTCACTTGGGCACCATACAGAGTGGAAGGCTATAGTTGCAGGAAAACCTGTAGCATGGTAAGAGATGAAACTTGAAGGAGAAAAGAGGCTAGACTCATATGCCCTTTCATAAGTAATGGAGGTCATATGCAACATATAAAAAACAGTTCTGAGGCAGATAAGGCTATTTTTTAGGTAGACTGAATATTTTATTTTTTGTGGCACTGGGGATAGAAATCTTGACAGGGAAACAGTCTATCACTGAGCACATATTTAGCCTCTATAGTATCTTAAATTGTTTCTACTTTGGAGTATAGATTAATCTCCTTCCTTGAAGGCTTTTATTTTCAGGCTTTGTTGCCTATCTTTTGTTTTGTCATGGGGACTTCAGATACTTTCACCTATATAGAAGGCTTTTGTTATTAACATTGTTTTGGTTACCATCAAGATAGTTAAATATTGTAAAGCCTGCTTAAAGGGGGCTAGTAACCAAACTGCCCCTGACTTTTTACAAAAGGTCATCACTTACATGTACTTCATATATTTATATATATTTTTTGCAATGCTGGGGAGCAAGTCCAGGCTTTGTGCGTGCAAAGAGTAAGTACTATCACTGAGCTGCATCCCAGCGCTATGCATTTCTTGTACAAAAATGAATGTTCCTTAAAGAATTTATCAAAAGACATGTCTCAAGAGTAAGCAAATCTTGGTTTGTTCCTTTGAAGAAATCAAATGTTGGTGAATGTGCTGATGAAAGAAGTTAAAAAGGTTTTACCCACATTTAACACCTAAACTTTTTTTTTTCTTTTAAATCTTCAGTATTCTACCTTGTAAATACTGTTATTTGTATATACTGTAAATGATGACATCGGTGGGCACCAACCGAGCCCGGGGAAACTGGGAACAACCTCAAAACCAAAATCAGACACAGCACAAGCAGCGACCACAGGTAAAGAATCCAAAGGGTATGGGTAGTTTTGCTGGCTGACTGTGGTCTCCATGCAGTATAGCATCATTCTATGCTTTGGATTATTGATTTAGGTTCCTTTCTTGTTGAGTAGTCTGTGGCTCTTTACTTAGGCCTGATAAATGTCAGTGTCCCGCTGTGATACAGCATGCTTACTTTTTGGTTGTTTAAGACTATATTGAGGTCAAGTGCTTCATTTTGCATCTTGTGCTTTGTGTCTTTAACATGTTTCCTTCTGTCACCTGGGCTGTTATTTTTTAGATCTCTTACCTTGATATTTCTCTAGCCAACTTTTATCCTTGACACGTTTTCCTTTCCAAATTTGGGGTGTGTGTGCTCCTATTTCCTTTCAGCTTTCTTTGAGGCCTTCTCTGAATTTTTCTTCCCCATGAGAAACTGGGATTTCATTGTTTCTTCTGAATTAACAAATGAGACACCCTAGAGCATTGCTCAGTTTTTTTATCTTGAGGAACAAATTAACCTCTTGAGTATTAAGTTTGGTTTAGATGTGATCTCTTTTTCCATAACCTGTTTTAGTTGGTACCTAATGTGAATATATTACTTAGATTTGGCCATGGTCCGATATGTTGAATACACAAGACTAGGATTTTCCTCTTACGCATTTTTCTTTCATCTGTATTTCTAAGCGAATTTCTAGTAGTTTAGTATTTAATCATAGTTGGGACAGTAAAATTCTTGGTATCTTAACATCTACTCAGGCAGAAGATTTCTTGTCTATCTTGGGCTAAGTCTTATGATACTTACAATAAGAAGTTAGCATTTGTTATTGAAGAAATAGGAACCAGATTTACATATGACTTTGCAAATACATTAATGTCAAGTAAGGGCAAGATGATTTTTTTTTTTTTTTTTTGAGACAGGATCTCACTATATAGTTGAGACTGACCTGGAACTCACTACTTAGCCCAGGCTGGTCTTGAACTCCTGGCGATCCTCCTTCCTCATCCTTCTGAGTGCTGGGATTACAGGCGTGTGCCACCACACCCGGCAAGGGCAAGATATTTCAAAGAAGCAAAGGGTTGGATGGAAGCCCTTGTGGCATGACAATTGATGGCAGTTCCCTGCTTTTTTGGGATTATAGTGAAATAGTTATGGCTTTACTCGATTTTTGTCATTTTGCTGATTTATGCATCTTAAAAAGTACTTAATTTTTGGTCTTTTTTGTTGTTTTTATTTTGCGTTATTGGGGATAGGGCCCAGGTCCTTGCACATGCTAGGAAAGCACTCTGCTTTTGAGCTACATCCCCAGCCTTTTTATTTTGTTTTGTTTGTTTGTTTCGTACTGGGGATCGAACTCAGGTCCTTGCACTTGGGAGACAGGTGGCGGCACCACTGAGCTAAATCCCCGGCCCCCTTTTTATTTTGTTTTGAGACAGGGTATCACTAAGTTGCCCAGGCTGGCTTTGAACTTTCAATCCTCCTGCCTCACCCTCCTGAGTTACATGGGATGACCGGTGTGCGCCATCATGCCCTATTCTGCTTGGTCATTTGTAACAAGGAAAAAGAAACAAGGGTGGAGGGTAGGGCAGGGATTGACTGTTTAGATCCCTGTTATTTGCTTCTTGATTATGCTTTCTTGATCTCTCATGTTCTAGGCCACTGCGGAACAAATTCGACTTGCACAGATGATTTCGGACCATAATGATGCTGACTTTGAAGAGAAGGTGAAACAAGTGCGTAATACCACTAATTTGGGGTAATGTAGGGAAAAGATGACAGTAGTAAGCATAATTATATTTTCTTTATTGAATGACTTTGGGGGTGTTTTCTGTGGGGGGGGTAAGTGGAATATTCTGGAGTTCAAACCCAGGCCTTGTGTACCAAATTTAGTTGGTATCTCTTCCCTTTACCTAGTTTCCTTTTGCGTGGGTTCCAGGCTTGTTCATGACAGTTGCTGATTTCTCTCTTTCAGTTGATTGATATCACAGGCAAGAACCAGGATGAATGTGTGATTGCTTTGCATGACTGCAATGGAGATGTCAACAGAGCAATCAATGTTCTGCTGGAAGGAAACCCAGACACGGTAGAGTGCTGACAAAGTGTTTTCGGCATTGGCATCCTGGGTTGGGAGGCTAGGAATTCTAAAAATACCAAGTGGGGTAAATCTTTTTAAACCCTTGTTGAATGTGTTCGCACACGTCTGTAATCACAGCATTTGGGAGGCTGAGGCAGAAGAATTTTGAGTTCAGGGCCAGTCTGGGCTACATAGTGAACTAAAAGCCTAAGCTACGCAGCAAGACCCTGTCCAAAAAAACAGTACCCTCCCCAAAACTAATGTGTCTTTTTCTTTAGGGAGCTTTCTTGGAAATGGTTTGCTATAGGTTTCTAAAAATTGTAGACTCTGAATTTTATTTAATGTATAATATGTCCTCTTCTTGAGGACAACAGTCATAGGAGAGAGCAAGTGAAGCTAGTCTTCTGATTGGTCTAGAATAAATTACTCATTCTAGGCTATTATATTTATTTATTTTTGTTTTTTCTGAGACAGTCTTTCTATGTAGTTCATGCTGGCCCTGAACTCACTGTGGATTCCAGGCTGGCCTCAAACTCACAGTGATCCTCCTGGTTCAGCCACTATGGTGCTGGGAGCTAGTGGCTGTTTTTTAAGGCTTAGATTAGTCTGAATTAGTGGTAATAATTGGTTACCAATCATGGGAGACTTCTGCTAATCTTTATTGCTGTCGAACAAAGGAACACATATTTTTAGGACAGCTCCATCAATGTCACCTTTACATCACATAATACTCTTTCATTGCTTGAACTTAATTCTCAAGGCAGCAAAGAAACAAGTTTCACAGCCCAGACATAGTCCAGGGCTGATAGATGATACCTTAGAGGACTGGTGGCCCTGGAATTTGGACACGTTGCTTTAACTTCCCTCTTCTGCTTAATGAGAATTTTGTGCCTGTGTGTTTTGTCTTGTCTTTCTGCCAACTTGTAATTGATTTTTTTTTTTTTTTTTTTTTTTTTTGGGTACCAAGGATTATAAATTCAGGTCCTTGTGCTTACAAGGCAGGCAGTGCAACTACTGAGCTAAATCCCTGGCCCCCAGCTTTGTAATTCTGTTAAGAACAGTTACCTTTGGCTTTGCCTTGCTAACCTTTGTGATGGTCCTACAGTGCCTACTAGAAAATTAAAAAACATATTTTTTATAGTACTGATGATTTAAACTCAGGTCATTCACAATGAGCTATTTTCAATTTTGAGACTGGGTCCTTCTGAGCTGCCCAGGCTGGGCTCTTAACTTGAGATCTTACTGCTTTAGCCTTCCAAAGTGCTGAGATTACAGGCATGTGCCACTATGCTTGGTGAGAATATTGTTTTTCTTTTTTTTTGGTACCGGGGATTGAACTCGGGTCCTTGCACTTGCAAGGCAGGCCACCGAACCCCTGAGCTAAATCCCCGTCCCGAGTATATTGTTTTTCTTGAGTGGAAACAGTATATTGCTTTGAAATCATTTTCAAGTTTCGTTGTCTTATACTGGGGATCTTTGGTTGGGATAGAGTTAGTTCATCCTTAGAACCTTCTGATGTTGCAGTAAACATCACTTCAGCTAAATGCTGGGGCCTTGTCAGTTTCTTTAGACAGTGGGAAATCATGGTGGGAAACTTAACTGAAATTTGTGGATTATTTCCTTCAAAAGTATACTTCTAGATTTGCATTTTGCATTATTGGCTTATTAGAATGTGCACTGCCTGGAGCAGTCACAGACAGTGCCTTGGTTCATTGTGTTATCCCAGAATAATCGTCTCAAGAATTGTGTTGTTGTGGGAGAGGTAAGACTTCTCTTCTTTTTTAAAAAGTTTGTTTTGGAGGCACAAGTCATATTTTGTCTCTTTCTGGAATCTTCTGTTTAGTGGTAAGTCTGACCTGTAGTAGGAAAGAAAAAAAGTGAGAGAATACAGGCTTCAGCCACAGATTATTAACCCAGTTACCAGTTAAATCAGTGGGAAACAAAGTCAGCTGCCAGGAACATTGGCTGTGTTTAGGTGGGTGAGATCGTATCCGAAAACTGATTAAGGGAGATTATAATTCTTTGTCCTTATGGAACCCACCCAGTTGCCAGCCGCTATTGTATATGTAGGGGAAGGAGAAAGCTAACAGGTTTCTGGAACTTCCCAAGTTTTGAGACAGACTTGTATAAATTCTAAAAGCTGTTTTTAGTCTAGTTTCCAGAGTTTCTGGTGCAGATTTAGTGAAAGAATTATTTATTTTATAAATTGAAGCTATGTGAGCATCAAATGACGCCTAACTTGTAATATGGAACAAACTTGGGTTGAAGATAGGAAAGCAAGGGATTGTAAGCTCTAGATGGATTATTTATTTATTGAGATAGGGTCTGGCTGTATAGTTCGGATTGGTTTTGAACTCATTGTGTAGCCCAGGTTGGCCTCAAATTTGCAGCAATCCTCCTGTCTCAGCCTCCCGATTGCTGTGATTACAGGCGGGCACCACTGTGCCTGGCCTGGATATTTAATCATTTTTTAAAATGGCTATATTACTAGTTGGGCATGATGGCGCATACGTAATCCCATCACTCAGAATGGTGAGGCAGGAGGTTTGCTAACAGTTCTGGGCCAACAACCTGGGCTATGTAGTGAGTTCAAGGCCGGTTTGGACTATATAGCAAGACCCTGTCTGAATAAAATATTAAAAAATGACTATTACTTTAACAAACTATTGTAGACTCTAGAACATACTCTTGTGATTTTATTGTAATTTTACTTTTTGGTAAAAGTAATGCTGGTAAAAATCTCAGGTTTAATTTGTATTGCTAGGATTACAGGCATGTGTCACCATGCCCAGCAACTAGCTTATTATTATTTTTTTTTACTATAGATTTTTTCCCTCCAATTTGGAATGCTGTATACACAGAGTACCAAAAAAGAAGTGTATACACACTTTAGAAAAAGAAAGACTTGTAGAAATATTTTAATACTAGATTTATTGAAACATTATGAGATTAATATGAGTTACCTTTCACCTCTACAATTATGAGAGGAGCTCAAAGTGTTGGCCATGAGTTTCCACACACTTACTATCATGGCAGACTGCTGCTTGGATGACCTTGGTCACTGAGATTGCTGCACATACATTGTCAGTTTCTTCTCTAAGGGCCGGCAGTATGTGGGTTTTCCGCACTATATCAAAAGGTTCCCCCATATAAGGGTAATACCATCTGTTGAAAAAGCATCGTACTGTTTGTCTTTTCCTGAAATGTGTATACATTTTTTTTTTTAGCAGACTCTGTGTGTGCGTGCGTGTGTGTGTGTGTATATATCTGTATCTGTGTAGTGACCTTTTGCATAAAAGATGTTTGGTTAGGTTGTACCATACAGGTTTGTGTATGTAATGCAGTGATGTTTGCATAATAATGAAATAGTCTCATTTTCCTCAGAAGTTTTACTTTCATTAAAAGATGCCTGACTATATTCTGCCTGGGGAAAGTTAAATTGGATTTATCAGTTTTTGAAGTGTAAGGGAAGATATAGTAGGTAAACCTAGACTGAAGGCTTCCTATAAATTGCTGTGTCCCTGGGCCAGGCATGGTGGCACATGCTTGTCCTCCTAGCATTTGGAAGGCAGAGGCAGGAGAATCACTGCCATTTCAAGGCCAACCTGGTTCCATAGCAAGTTGAAGGCCAGCCTGAATTATATAGTTGGAGCCTATCTAAAAAAAAAAATGTCCTGCCTAGCATGGGTATGGCATGCCTGTAATCCCAGCATTGGGGAGGCTGAGGCAGGAAGATTGCTGTTGAGTTTAAGGCCAGCCTGGGTTACATGAGTTCATGGCCAGCTTTAGTGTAAGATCCTGTCTCCAAAAAAAAAGGTATGTTCCAGAGCTGGGAGTGTTTGCTGTTTGGTCTTTTAAATGAAATTGGGGTGTGTGTGTGTGTGTGTGTGTGTGTGTGTGTGTGTGTGTTAATATGAACGATTTAAAAAGTTGGGGGTCACTGAATCCAAGGGCTGCCAGCTGTTTCAGCCCACGAAGCACACTTTATAAGAGACCAGTAACTAGATTCTTTGACTAACCCACGGAGTGGCTGAACTTGCTAGAGAACTTTGGGAAGTGATCTCTGTAATCCATTACTTGTAAGCATCTCCTCACACTCCTGCCCCGCCAAAAAACCTTGCATTTTGACAAACAGATGTAATACTTGATTTTAGGTTTTGTCTGTATCTTCATTAAACAGAAAAGTAAACTAATGGGAGTGTCTTAAACATAGGCAGTGATGCTGGGTGTGAAGGTGCGGGCCTGAAATCCCAGCCTTCTGGGAGGTTGAGGCAGGAAGATACCATATTTGAGCGCAGCCTGGGCAACTTAGGACCCTGTCTCAGAAAATAAAAAAGGCTAGAAATGTATCTCAGTGTGAAGATTCCGGGTTCGATTCCTGGTACTGCAAACAAAACAAAACTCCCATTATGGGTGTTGAGATGCTGAGAGAATAAATGAGCCATCACACCTTTCATCTTGTGATAGTCCATATTGATTAGATGTGTTTTTCTACTGCCCTTCAGCATTCTTGGGAGATGGTTGGTAAGAAGAAAGGAGTTTCGGGACAGAAGGATGGTGGCCAGGCGGAATCCAATGAGGAAGGCAAAGAAAATCGAGACCGGGACAGAGACTATAGTCGACGACGTGGTGGGCCACCCAGACGGGGCAGAGGTGCCAGCCGAGGACGAGAGTGTATGCATGGGGCTTTATCAAAACCAACTGTGGGTCAGTAATGTCTGGAACCCAGGCCTGTGTCAGGACCTGCTAGGCAGGACCCAGGACTCATTATATCATCTTTTCCTTTTCTCGCTGTAGTCTGTTATGAGACCTCAGCATCTTTTGTGTGTACCCTTTTGTAGTGGCAGTTGCTAGACTGGCATAGAATTAACTTTGTAGTCATTTGTAGAGTTAGTTTACACACAGTGGTCTGTTATAGCAGCAGCTTCTCACCACTCATGAGTGACCCTCACTTCCTGTCCTTCCAGCTCACAGTCTTTTAGTGTTTTGTTTCCCCAGCTGTGTTATGTGGCTGATGTGTATTTGTGTATATTCTATTGACCCTGCTCTGGCTGTGTGTTTTGTTTATTTGTATTTCAGTTCGGGGTCAGGAAAATGGATTGGATGGCACCAAGAGTGGAGGGCCTTCTGGAAGAGGCACAGAGAGAGGCAGAAGAGGCCGTGGCCGAGGCAGAGGTGATGTTTGTGGTCGGATGGATATTATAGGCAGGTTGTGTGTGTGTCCCATACCGGGAATGGAACTCAGAACCTTTCTCTTGCCAGGCATGCACAGTGCCACTGAGCTAAATCCCTAGCCCTTGTGTTGTTTTGTCTTAGTGGTACTGGGAATTGAACCCAGGGCCTTTATGCTGAGTTTCATACCCAGCCTGTTTTTATTTTTAGTATGTTTTCATTGTACTTGGAATTAAACACAGGGCCTTCATGATGAGCTACACCCCCAGCCTTTTTTTTTTTTTTTTTTTAAGTCAAGAGTCTCATTAAATTGCCCAGACTGGGCTAAAATTTGTCATTTGCCTGCTTCAGAGTACTGGGATTGCAGGTGTGCACTTCTGTGCCTGGTGGGGCAAGTTACTCGTTAGTTCTCTTAAGTCTCCTTTATTTAAAATAAATTAATGTAGGGCCAGGGACTTCGCTCAGTGGTTCTGGTGACTGCTTCGTAAGCACAAGGACCTGAGTTTGATCCCTGGTACCAAAAAAAAAAAAAAAGTTAATGTGGAGTCTGGTTACTGCTTAAATTGTTAAAGTATCTCGCATATACCAGGGTTTCCTGAAATGGAGACTAGGAGAGCAGGTAGATGTCAGTTGTTCTTTATCACTAATGTTACTGTGTTTGTTTGAAGACTTAGCAGTTTGAGCAGCAAAGGAACAACCTGTCAGTAGTAATGATTGTCCTACTCTGTTACATTAACTGATGTCTGCATGGGACTGAGAGAACATCAGATAATATCCAAAGCTTTCTCAGCTGGCAAAATGGTTTTACATCAGCTTCTGAAATATTTCTCTTCCTCTCTGTAGGAGGCTCTGGTAGGCGGGGAGGAAGGTTTTCTGCTCAAGGAATGGGGTAAGTGCCATTAGTCTGGGGACTTTTAATTTGTTTTCCCTAATGATCACATAGATAGCCTTAACCAAAATTTGATCAAAATGAATCCTAGAGTATATTTAAGCAGAAAAAAATACGTAGACTTAGGGCTTATTTCTCAGGGATAAGCATATGCCATGATATTTTGGATAGACTGATAAACAAAGAGTATTACAGAAAGGGGCTGATCATTTCTATTAGGTCTTCTTTGAGTTAATATTTGCTGAAGCTGCTTAGTGGTCAGAGGTACTTTTAAGCTTTATTTTTTTCAGAACTTTTAACCCAGCTGATTATGCAGAGCCGGCCAATACCGATGATAACTATGGCAATAGCAGCGGCAATACATGGAACAATACTGGCCACTTTGAACCAGATGATGGGACGAGTGAGTGTTTATTATTCATTTCCTGTCTCAGGAAACCTAGGGAAGTTATTAATAATTTTTATTTATTTTTCTTGGTGCTGGGAATTGAACCCAGGGTGTTGTGTACCCCAGGCACTTGTGTATTCTACCACTGACCTATACCCCCAGCATGGCAGTAATTTTTTGAAGTTACAGTTACATTAAAAAAGTAGAGAAATTGCATTTGGGTATAGAGATAAAAAGAGAAGTAAATCACTACTAAATTGCTGTGCATACTGCTTAATTACCATATTCTTACAAGTGCATTTATATGGGTGTTTCACTTTACCTTCATCACTGTTTTGTTTATTTTTCACCATCACTGTTTTATGAATAGGCTTTATTATCACTTTCCTGATGACTAAAGTATGACTAAAGTATGACTAAAAGACAGGTTATGAATTTGTTAGTATTTGAATTCAAAATTATTTGGCTCTTAAAATTTTGTGCTCTTTCCAGCACACCATGTGGGTGCTGTTAGCTCCAAGTTCTATATTTCCTAGTGTTTTTCTAAGTAGCTTTTCCTTTTGAAAGATATCCAAATCACTCAAGCCACTCCTTGTAGAAATGAATAGGGCCCAGAATCCAAGTCCATATTGTTTTGTTTGCTGGTACTGAGATAGGAGTAATATTCTTTTTTCCCTTTGATTTTTGAGAAATCTCAGTATCTGAGCAAGAAGGAAAGCTCTCGCCTTCCTGACATTCTGTTAATAGCCTTCTTGGTGTGGTAGAGTATCATGGGATATGAATAAAATTGCTCTCCCTGCGACCCCCTGTCTCTGGGGCCTACATCTAGGTAGAGGAGTATAGATGTTTAGGGACATGTTAGGTTGTGGGGTAGACTAGGTTGTGTTTAGGGGTAAGAGATATGTGTGATGCTTTTGGTAAGGCTCTAGGGTGCTTTCTTGTGAGAGCATCAGTCTGCTGGCTGCAGCAGCACAAAAAAGCCTGAGGCTTTTAGTCTTACAAAAGGTCTGGATTAATAGGAGGGCCTGAAATAGGGTCTTCAATACCATAGCCATTTAAAGTTGTTTGGTCCCTTTCAGAGACCAGTGATTTTTTACTCTGGGTCTTTAGGACAGTCTGGCACAGCTTGTCATCTCCAGCACACAAGATGTTATTGTACCTTAGGTCCCAAGCACTGCCTACTTTCTGTTTGCCAAGTGGCTATCTCAAAATCTAATTTTTTTGTATTGGGGATCTTGAACTCAGGACCCTGCACTTGTGAGGAAGGCATGGTGTTGCTGACCTACATCCCTGGCCCTCATAATCTTTTTTTTTTTGCGGGGGTGGAACTGGGGATCAAACTCAGGACCTTGCGCTTGCCAGGCAAGTGCTGGTGCCACTGAGCTAAACCTCAGGCCCTATAATCTCATTTTTAATATTTCCCATGGGTGTACACCCGTAATCCTAGCACTAGGGAGGCAGAGGCAGGAGGACTGCTTTGAGTTTGAGGCCAGCCTGAGCTACATATTAAATTCAAGGCCTGAACTACAAAGCGAGACCCTGTCTCAAAAAAAAAAAAAAAATTCCTACTGAAGCTGAAATTTTTTTTTTTTTTGGTTTTTTGAAACAGGGTCTCACTATGTAGTTGAGACTGACCTGGAACTCTCTATGTAGCCCAGGCTGGTCTTGAACTCACAGTGATCCTCCTGCTTCAGCCTCCCAAGTGCTAGGAGTACAGGAGTGCGCTACCATGCCCGGCTGAAGTTGAAGTATTGACAAGATGGGTACCTTGTTAAATTTTTATGCCATTTGGCTAAGAAGTGTTCGCTGTTTATTTTAAATTACCCTGCTTTAGAGGCACTAGAATTGTTCATTTCTTGATGGCTTTATAGAGGCGGTGGTACCTGTCTCAGTATCAAAAGTTATTTTGAGCTATAGTTTGTTCTTGGGTATATTTGACTTTTTTAGTTTTTGGTAGAAAAGGTGGTGGAAATTAAAGGATTTGTTTTGGTTAGGGATAGAAATTGGATAGAGAATCTTAGTCCTTAGGCTTAACTGTCTTCAACAGGATTTGGTTGGAAAAAATAGGTAATGGTGAAGTGAATATTAAACTCTATTGAGTAGACAAGCAGAGTTTGGAAGTCCAGAAGCAGAAATCAGTGGATGTGATTGAGTGAGATCACATGTGATGCCATGGTCGTCTGGTTAGCGTGAAAGTGTTAGGTAGAACTTCATCGTGTGATCCACCTTCATGTGTGGTCTCTTTTTGTGTTTTCATAATAGCCAACTTTGGTTCCCTTTTTAATTTAAAAATAAATTCAAACCTACCCTTAAATATCCACAGGTACAATGGGAATTATGTATTGGGGGCAGATATTCTCATTCAAAAGCAAAATTTCACTGGTTGTTTTTTCTTTTCTTTTCTTTTTTGTTTCAGGACTTGATTTCATTGGGGTTGAGGGGTCAAATTATCCCCGAAAATTTGAGACTGCTCCTGGTATGATACATCCAGGCGCCTAACTGCCCCGGATATTTTTATAGATTTTTTTTTTATGAATGGCAATATCTGTGGATATGTAATTTTTCTTTCTTTCTGCTTTTTCTTTCATTTCCTCTGCCCACTTTTCCTTCTTAAAAATTTGTTCATTAAGTGATTATTTTACGTGTACACTGTGCTTTATGTTGAGGGAATAGAAAACCTGTTCTGTTCCTAAGTGTTTCCATCTTACTGTTCCTTTCTCAGTAGCTCTTCCTCACAGCCCTACTTCTTTTATAGGAAAGTAGCAAGTAGGTAGATACATTCTTCCTTTCTGCCCTTCTCAGTCACCAGAGTGCAGAAAGGAAATTCTGTCATAAAGAATCTAGATTAGATAACCTCTGAGGTCACATCTAACTTGGGGCTGCGTAGGAGTGCTAATTTGCGTTCCACGTAGCTGGGATGTGATGGATGTCAGTGAGGAAAGAGTGGCATCGCTAGAAAGGAGGAAGAGTGGAGCTTGGACCCTGTCCAGATTGAGATTGGATTTTGGCTTTGAAGGACATTGTCATTTAATGGTTTGGAATTCCCCGGTAGAGTTTTAAGGTTTTCCTGGAAAAGTCACTGCCATTGATAAATTTTCATTATTAAATATTTAGAAGCATTTCAGGTTTTTAAAATTTTTTAAATTTTTTTGTGATACCAGGGTTCTAATTCAGGACCTTGTGCTTTCCAGGCAGGCGTGGCACCAATGAGCTACATCTCTAGCCCCCCCTTTTTTCCCCTGGTATTGACTGTGGGTCTTTAGGACAGTCTGGCACAGCTTCTCATCTCCAGCACACAAGATGTTTTCCCTTAGGTCCCAAGCACTGGATTGAACTCAGGACCTTGTGCTTTAAAGGCAGGCGTGGTACCACCAGATGAGTTTTATATATAGGTGTTAAAAGTTTTTTTTTTTTTTTTTTTTTAAGTGAATGCCTTTCAGTATTTAAAAAAAAAATTTTCCCACCTTGGTGTGTGTGTGGGGGGGGTGCTGGGAATCCAAGTCAGGACCTTACACTTGAGAATATTTTTAGTTTTTTTGAGACAGGATTTCATTATGTAGTTCAGGATGGCCTTGAACTTGAGGTATTCCTCCTGCCTCTGTGCTGGGATTACAGGGGTGTGCCACCATGCCTGATGTTACTTTTCACTCATTTTTTAGGGGGGTGGGTACCAGGGATTGAACCTCCAGTCCTGGTACTTGCCTGGCAGGTGGCAGCACCACTGAGCTCAATCCCCAGCCTGACTTAAGAAGCTTTCTCCTTTTGGAGAGAAGGAAAAGTTAATCAGTATATGGTTGTTCTAGAAAATAAGTAAGGGTCATTCTTGTTCCTTCTCTAAGTTGCTACTGTGTGATCTTTTGGTTATAGGGAAGAACCTGGTTTTCATAAGAATTCTTTTTTTTTCCGGGGAGGGCAGGGGTCTCCCTTTGTAGTTCAGTCTGGTCTTGAACTCACGTAGCCCATGCTGGCCTTGAACTGGTGATCCTTCTGCTTTAGCCTCGTAAGTGCTAGGATTACAGGGTGTGCCACCATGCCCAGCTCCTCAGGAATTCTTATCTCAATTCCTTAAGAGCATTTTTTCTTCCTGAAGATGTATGTATACATGGAGCAAAAGGGAAATTGGCATGATTGCTGGTGACCTTTTCCTATAAAAACTGTAGTCTTAAAACATGAGGAGATCGTATACCTCTGGTGTTGGTGCTATGACCTTGGGCAGGCAGACTTCATGTTCTGTGTGAGGAAAAATAGTAGGATAGTTACTGTTGATATTTGATTTTTCAGTTGTATCTAGTATCTTCAAAAAGAAAAAGTGTGTGGAGCTCTCCTTGTAGTTATCAAGTAAACTAATAAGGAGCTATGAATTTGACTTCTGCCTAGTGTGCATTTTTCATTCAGTTCCAGTTGCAGATATTTCTCAGCATCCTCAATTTGGCTTTCAAACCAACTTTGTTATTGCCCTGTTACTGACCACTGTGTGCCAACTACTTGTGTATTTCTACCACTGCTGCCATCTGTCTTCAGACTGCCTGCAGGTTTTTGTCTTATACCAAATACACAGATGTAGTGTGCATGTTCTGGTTTGCATTGGCTGCTGTTGTCTCACTGAATTGACCACTAAGTTACAACCAAGACCATATAGGTAATGCCTGGAGCATTGAGTTGGGGGCGTGTGTGTTGTGCATTGTGCGTTTCTCTGTGTCTGTCTGCCCCCCCCCACTCTTCCCATCTTGTTACAATTCTTTTAAGAAAAACTGAAAGTATCTCTGAAATCATAATCTTAACCAAATTCTGCTGCTATGAAGCATCCCTTTCTAAATAGTTTACTCACCTCTGAAGCCCAAGAATTCCTTCTGATTACTATATTCTGGTTATACTTTTGGCTTCCAAAAATGTTAATGCATTAGTGTTCTATACAAGTTTTGTAGTGATGCTTAAAGCCATTTTTCCTTTATCCCCAGGTGCATGGAGGGCTGCAACAGAGGAGTGGGGAACTGAAGATTGGAATGAAGATGTAGGTGTTTCCAGGTTATTCCTCATTAGTGCCATCTATCTCCAAGTAGTATTTAGGGATAGAAAACATGTTTCTACCTGTAAATACACCCTTAAAATTCTCACTCAAAATTTTTACATCTAAAATAATGTTCTGAGCCAGAACATTTCACATAATGTCGTAGTTACTTTTCTTGTTGCTGAGACAAAATACCCAATACCCCCAAGTTAAGGGAGGAAGGGTTTATTTAGCTCAATTTGTAGAGGTTTTAGTCCATAATTGGCTGGCTCCAAGGGCAGTGTAGCATGGCAGAGGGGTGTCGAAGAGGAGAAACAGTTCATGACAGGCAGAAGGTAGCAAAGCAAGCAAGGGCCCTTAGCAGCTTTTTTCTGTCTCACATTCTGTCTAGGCTACCCAGATTAGGGTGGTGCTAAACCAGTCAGTGGAGTAATCCCGCACCTTAATCGTAGCATTGCACCATAAAATCAGTCACAGTCTAGATTTGACCAGCTCTGAAAAAGTCGCACCTATCACTGCATGACGTTTTTGGGGGACTTGTAGACACAGCCGTAACACATGTATGAAGGGGACTAGGAATGAATAAGACTCTCTGGAACCACCCTGTGGAATGGGCAGGTGCACTTGTGCAAGTCCAAAGTCTGATCGTTGGGTTTATTCCAGGAAAAGGTGGTGGTTGGGTAGGGCACCACAACTAGAGTTAGGCAGGTAGAGTTGCCAGTAGCATGACTCCCTAGAGCTGTTCTGTTCTTTGGGGTAAGCTCCTTCAATGGATTGACAATTGGTGCAGAGATTTATGGTACCAACTCTTCAAGCTTGCAGTCTGGTTGCTCTGGAACCATTTTATTTACTTGAGGCCTAACTTTGTAATTGTAATTGAGATGAATGTATGGAATTTGCTGTTTGTTTCCTTGATTCAACTTGGAAATTGCATAGGTGAGTGACACAGAAGCCAGCTGCATGAATTCAGTTGAGTACTACAGTTGTTCCTTGGTTCATGAACTTAATTCTGTGATTCTGCTTGCAAACTGAATTGGATAAGAACTGAAATCTAATTTCCCTATAAGATCAACATTGAACCTAAGCATTGAATTTGATTCGGTTCTCATCCATTTGAGTTTGCGACCATAATCATGGAAAGAATTATGTTCGTGAACCAAGGTACTGTTGTACTTGAGTAAAAGAATTTTTTGTGTCTTTGTCACTGTTAAGCTTTTCGGTTATCATGGATGTTTGTGTTTTAACATTTTAAAATGTGCTTTTTTATAGTTAGGTAAGATAGCTTTTGTTGTTAGGAAATGAGAAGTGAAAAGTATTTTGAGACTGAGTGTGCGTGCACCTGAAATCATATCACAGGAGACTGAGGCAGAAGGATCTCTATGAGTTTGAGGCCAGCCTGGGCTACATTGTGAGTTGAAGGCCAGCATAATGAGACTATCTCAAAAAACAAAAATAAAAAGGTTTAAAAAAATAAAAAAAGGTTTGATTGCCAGTCCTAGGTTTTAAAACTTTCAGATGCATCATCACCAAGGGGTGGTTTTTTTTTAATTGAGCTAGACTGCATTATCAATAGGGGAGAATTTGGCTACTTCCTGACTTGTCTGCTTAGGCACCTTTCAAGAATAATGTATATGAGGGATGGATTTTCTGTTCTAAGTTAGGGGAGAGACTTTAATCAAGAATAAAACAAGTGCCGGGTGTGGTGGCACATGCCTGTAATCCCAGCACTTGGGAGGCTGAGAAAGGAGGATGCTGTGAGTTCGAGACCAGCCTGAGCTACATAGTGAGTAACAGGGTCAGTCTCAACTACATAGTGAGACCTTGTCTCAAAAAAACAAAAAAACAAATAAAAAAATAGAACAAGAAAGAAAGCCCACATTAATTTTTTTATAGTAAGAGCTATTCTCTGTAATTGCTTACCAAATGTTTGTGCTTTAAGAGTATGATAAAATCAGTATTAGGGCAAAATGGCAAAATTATCCCTCTGAAAACCTTAACTCATCAGCACAGGAGCCATTAGTCCTCTGAAGTCAAGAATTAACCTTTCTTCAACTTGGGCATAATCTTGCTTTCACAGCAGGTGGAAGGTATTGAAAGGTGTGGTGCGAGTTGGGAACTGTAATGGGAAAATATAAAGGAATATTTTCTTTTTTTGGTACTGGGGATTGAACTCAGGACCTTGTACTTGCAAGGCAGCAAGGTGCCACTGAGCTAAATCCCTAGCCCCAATCTCTCCTTTTTGAATGATCTGTGGCATGTGTATTAACCGTCCTTTGAGTGCACTGTGCGTGTAAAGATGTGACTCCACTATGTTTTATTGAGTTCCTTGGTTCTACCCTTTCTTTGAGCAAAAGCATCAAGAATGTGTTGAAGGTCAGTTCATTCAAAATTTCTCAGGGTAGATAGGTTCTTTTTTTTTTGTTTTTGTTTTGTTTTGTAAATAGGATTTTCCCTTTTTCTTGATGTTAAATTTGCTTTATTTGTGCCAAATTTCTGATTGGCTTTCCTGACACCAGAAGTGACTAATGCCTGTGTTTTCCAGCTTTCCGAGACCAAGATCTTCACTGCATCTAATGTTTCTTCAGTGCCTCTGCCTGCGGAGAATGTGACAATCACTGCTGGTCAGAGGCAAGTGTGCAGTGACGTTTGGTACCTTTCCCTGAGCTGTCTGCTGAGGTAGCTGTAAGGATCAGTGGTGTGGCCCTTACAAGTTCTGGTGGTGGTGGTAAAGATAACCATGTCATTCCTCTTTAAGTGGGAGAGAGTTGGTGCATGTACTGAATGAAAGTCCCTGTTAAAATTTTATGGCCCATTCTCCCTTGAAGTAGGCCTTTAACTACATTAATCAGTAAGCCGAGGGCTTAAAGTTGTGGTGAAGTAAGCAGGGGAAAGAAGAGTTAAGCCGAAAGTGGAAATGTTTGCATTTATTTTTGAGAGCCGTGGAACTATTCAGTAGCTTGTTTTGCTTTGTAGTGGTAGTCTGTCCTCTGAACCCACTGAGAACATTTAGTCCTCCATATCTATGGACTCTGCATCCATGGATTCAACCAACTGCAGGTCGAGGAAATTTTTTTGCAGTTGTGGGAGTTGAACACAGGGAGTACTGAACTATGTCCTTAGCCCTTATCATTTTGAGACATGCCCTCAAACTTGAGATCCTCCTGCCTCAGCCTCCCAAATAGCTGGGCTTATAGGCTTGTGCCACCATGCTTACCTTGGAAATATTTAAAAAACTATCTGTTGTGATTTTCAATGTAGTATAACAACTTTTTACATAGCGTTCACATTATGTTAGGTATTAGTTACCTAGAGATTATTTAAAATACATAGGATGGGCCAGGAATTTAGCTCAGTGGTTTTGCTGCCTGCCTCGCAAGTGCACGGTACTGAGTTTGATCCCCAGTACCAAAATGAATAAATGAAATAAATAAATATTAAAATAAATAAAATACATAGGATGGTGTGTAGGTTATTTGCAAATACTATTTTATGTAATGCTTTTGAGCGTCTGCATATTTTGGTATCTTTTTAGGATCCAGGAACAATGCCTCGTGGAGAAGAAGGGATTGTAACTAATGAAGTGTTTAGACGTTGAACCTAGGTATTGGGGTCATTGGTAGGAGATACATTCTTCAGGAAATACTTTAATCCCTTAAAAGCCCTCCTTGTCATTTTTAATCCTGGTGGACATAGCAGCTGTTGTTCAGAAGAGTTGTGGTAGGTGTAGGATGTTATTAGTGTAGATTTGTTTTTTGCTGACACCAAATATGTGTAGTTTTTCCACATCATTTGTATGATTCTCTGAGACCAGCTGGCTGTGTTCACCATTGTGACACTAACTACCCAAGAGTTGGCACAGACCTTAGATGTTGAGGGTAGATCTGCAAACTTCAAAGTTCCACCAACTCTCCTCAGAACTCAGGCTAGCGTTTTGCTGTTAATAAAGGCGCAACTCAGGAACAACCAAATGGAAGAAATAAGGGCAAGGTGTGTGTGTGTGTGTGTGTGTGTGTGTGTGTGTGTGTGTGTCCTGTCCAGGTACCTGGACTCTGCACGCCTCATCGCTCGAGGGTACTTCATGATTAGAGCTTAATTATATAGGTATAATTGATTGAATCATTGGTGATTGCATTTAATAGCGAGTTCCCATCCCTCAGACATGGATAGTGTTGGGCGGGCCTGAATATTCTAGATCTGGATTCTGGTCTTTCTAGTGACTAGACACCCTGAAGCAGTCTAGAGGCTCCACACTAGGACGTTGCATTAGCATAAACTCGGATGTGGATGAAAGGAGCTGATAATGAGTAACAGAAAGCACTGCTTTCTGGACATTTCTTTTGGGGGATGGGTTGTTGGGGATGAAGCCCAGGACCTTCTGTGTTCTAGGCATACACTTTACTACTCGGCCACACCCCCAGCCCCATATTTTTTGTTGTACCACAGTTAACTTTTGAAATTTTGTAAGTTGTGGGAAATGACTTTCAAAACTTTTCATGTTCTACCAGGCATGGTGGCACACACCTATAATCCTAGCACTTGGGAGGCTGAGGTAGGATTGCCACAAACTGGAGTTCAGCCTGGGCTACATAGTGAGTTCACAGCCAGCCTAAACTGCAAAGCAAGACTGTCTCAAAAAAACAAGAAAAAAGAAAACAAAACTTTCCTTATGGCTTAAAAATTATGACGCATACTCAGTATTGTTTTTTGGTTTTTTGTTTTTGTTTTTTTTTTTTTGTACTGGGGATCAAACTCGGGCCCTTGTGCTTTTGAGGCAGGTGGCGGAACCACTAAGCCAAATCCCTGGCCCAGTACTCAGTATTAAAATCATGGATAAATAATTATGAATTGTGGCCCAGTTGCTGAGCTATTTAAAACTGATATTTGATATTTCATCAGATAACTTCATCAAAGTAAAAAAATTATATAGCCATTATTATTGGTGTCTTCAGTAGAAGTTAGCTAGATACTATAGTGATTCTTAGACATCAGTGATTTTGGTAAAGTAAGCATTTCAGAGCTTTGCATTTCTGAGTTCATTTCGAAGCATCAGTAGGTGGCTTCCCTTTGATCTATGACCTCAAGTAGATACTGGCATATGTTTGGATTTTTAGACATTATTCATCAAGATTCCTTTCCCATCCCACTAGAATTGACCTTGCTGTTCTGCTGGGGAAGACACCATCTTCACTGGAGAACGATTCATCTAATCTGGATCCGTCTCAGGCTCCTTCCCTGGCTCAGCCTCTGGTGTTCAGTAACTCGAAGCAGAGTGCCATATCACAGCCTTCTTCGGGTAGCACGTTTTCCCATCACAGTATGGTAAGTGGGATCCATGGTTTATTCCAGTCAAACTTCCACCTTCCTCAAAATACTTAGGTAGTTATTCCTTGTATCAAAGAATAAAATTACAGCAATTTTGTCTAACGGTCTTATTTGGCTTTTCTTTCAATTCTAGAATTGGTAACATTTCATTTCATTCAGTAGGTGTTGTGATGGACCAAGCAGAAGAGATTTTTTTTTTCCTGGTGCCAGGGATCAAATTCAGGACCTTGCACTTGTGAGGACGGTGTGACCCCACTGATATAAAGCCCAGCCCAAGACTGGTTTTACTAAACAAGGGCTTAGGGCTGGGGATGTGGCTCAGTGATTCTGCCACCTGCCTCACCAGTGCAGGGTCCTGAGTTTGATCCCCAGTACCAAAAACAAAACACAGGCTTACTGTGCCTTCAATAAACAGAAGAGCTTAAAGAAAAACAACAAAAAAGTGTATTAGTTATTTCAAAGTCACGTTTCATATAAGATGAAATGGGAAGACAGCAGTAGAAAAAATGCCTGGCGGACATCAGATCACCAGTGTTGTGTACCGATTAAGGCCAAGGGTAGTTAGGGTTCGTAGCAGGGCATTGTCCTCTCTTCTTTTTTCTTTTGGTACCAGGGATTGAACTTGGGACGATGTGCTTGTGAGGCAAGTAGTGGCACCACTGAGCCAAATCCCCAGCCCTAACGGTATTGTCCTCTTTAAGGACAAAGCTTTCGGCATTAAATTTAATAGTAAAAGGTGGCTGTAGAAGACAACTTAGTATTGTTTTGTTTTTGAGGACTTAACTTTGGACAGACTGAATTATAAGAATAAGTTAACCTTTACCGAACACTCATTGTGCTATACCGTTTCTTCTTTCTTGTAAAGAGAGAAAACTAGTAACATCAACTTGTCAACAAATTTTAATCCTTTTGCAATCCCAATGAAATTGTACTGGTAGATTTTAGCCATTCCTCATTCTTATTTATTTATTTATTTTTAATTTTTGAGACAAGGTCTTGCTATGTAGCCCAGGCTGGCCCTTAAACTCCAGGTTATTCTCCTGCCTCAGCCTCCCGAGGTCTGGGATTACAGGCATGTTGCCACCATGTCCAGCTGGACTTCATGCTCTATAATGTTATAATGTATCAAAGGAATCATTTAGACAAAGATGGAAGGACCAGTCTTTTTATAGTCAGTAGTCCTGTGAAACACTGCTTTTTTCTTTTTTCATCTGTTTTTCTTGAGTTATTAGAGATATAAAAAGCAGACCATGTGGGGCTGGGGCTTTAGCTCAGTGGTTCTGCCGCCTCCCTTGCAAGCGCAAGGACCTGAGTTCTTTCCCTGGTACCAAAGAAAAGACCATGTGTATCCATACGATTTTATTTTTCCAGTTATGGTAAATTTAACTAGAAAACTGATTAGCCTCTAATTCAGAACTCTTGTCTGTTTTTTGTTTTATTTATTTATTTATTGATTGATTGATTGATTGATTGATTGGTACCAGGGATTGAACTTGGGTCCTTGCGCTTGCAAGGCAGACCACCGAACCACTGAGCTAAATCCCCGGCCCTTGTTTTGTTTAATTTTTGAAGACAGCGTCTTGCTCCATAGTACAGGCTGTCATGGAACTCAGTTTGTAGCCCAGGCTGGTTTTGAACTCACCACCTTTGTATGTCAGCTTCCCAAGTCCTGGAATTATAGGCGTAGGCCACTGTGATTGGCCTCTGTCAGGTTTTAACTATTGTCTTAAAATGTTTTTTGTGTTCATTTCGTCATTGATGTCCTGCCACATGGGAAAAGTAGCAGGTGAGAAAAGGTATGGAAGAGGGAAATAGAAAGTAGTGTTGGAGTTGGGTTTGGTGGTGTATGCCAGCATGTGGGAGCCTGAGGCAGGAGGATTGCTTTGAGTTTAGAGCTATCCAGGGTTTCATAGTGAGTTAGGGCCAGGCTGAACTATGTAGCGAGGCCCTGTGTAACACACACATTCATATATTTATACACAAAGTGCAAAGAAGGCATGAAGACTAAGAAACAATGCACAACTAGAAATTTGGTTGAGTATTCTGTATCTCTTAATTCCTCTCTGGATGTCTGGAATTATGAACATTAACAATCAGATAAAAATTTTGGAGCCAGGGATGTAGCTCAGGGGCACTGCACCTCTCTCACAAGCACAAGGTCCTGAGTTCCATTGCTGGTACCAAAAAAAATTTTTTTTTAATGTCAAAAAGGTGTTTCTGAAATGTAACTACTGTATTCCTAAAAAGTACTAATAAACTCAGTGAGAAAAAAATAAGTTGTTTCCAGGGCTGGGGATTTAGCTCAGTGGTTCTGCTGCCTGCCTCACCAAGTGCAAGGTCCTGAGTTCGATCTTTGGTACCAAAAAAAAAGGGTGTTTCCAGCATTCATCCACTGTATGTAACATTATTTTTTTTGTTGTTTTGAACCACGAATTGAACTCCGGTCCTTGTGCTTGTGAGATAGGTGGTGGAACCACTGAGCTAAATCCCTGGCCCCGTAACATTGTTTTTAATGTTTGCTGCCTAATAATGTTAAAATAAACCTCATCACCTGTATATTGATCATCAGTGTTACTTAATGTAATTTTTCTTTGAGAATAAATGTTACAGAGCTAATTTTTCTTAAAATTTAATAGATGCAGTCAACATAGGAGCTTCTCTTTGTTTTGTTCAGCTTCAATTGAGTTTATTGGTACATTTTAGGTATACAGTACAATTACATTCATTGTTGGGATCTTGTACCTCTACATGACAAGTCTTGGTTCTCATTTTTCCCCTTGTCCCTGCCCTCCCTTCACCCTTCCTCCCCTCCCCATCTACAAACACTTTATTTCCATCTTTTCATTATCTCACTTTTTTTTTTTTTTTTTTAAGGAGTTTCTCCTAATACTTTATATGGAACACGGTGAACAAGCCAGGCGTATAATCCCAGCACTCTGCAAAGCAGAAACGGGAGAATTACAAGTTTGAGCCCAGCCCAGGCAACTTAGTACCTTAGACCTTGTTTCAAAATTTAACAAATAAATAATGAAGATGGGGGATACAGCACAAAGTAAAGGGCCCTCCCTTCAATCCCCAGTGTCACACAAAACCAAACCAAACCAAATAGGGCTGGAGATTTAGCTCAGTGGTTCTGCCGCCTGCCTCACAAGTGCAAGGTCCTGAGTTCAATCTCCAGTACAAAAAAAAAAAAAAAAAGAATGACCGTTACAAAACCAAACCATATGGGTAATGTCTTATATCTTTCATGTTGTGCATTATAGTGTCCCTCACTTTCAACTGGACTTCTGGGTTTTTTGTTCATACCGTTTGGATATATGCTGGAGAAAAAAGTCTTACCTTGAGTTAGACTAGTTTTGTGTAAAAAGGCACACTGCTTGATGATGATAAGCTGTGGTTATTTACTTATTTAATTAGAGATTGAACCCTGGCATGGTGGTGCACGCCTATAATCCCAGCACTTGGGAGGCTGAGGTAGGATGGATGGCCTTGAGTTTGAGGCCATCCTGGCTGCATAATGAGTTTGAGGCGACCTACATAGCAAGACCATCTCAAAAAAACAAAAAACAAAAAAACCACACTGGAACCCAGGGCCCTGTATTCCCATTTCTTTTTATTTTGAGACAGGTCTTGCTAAGTTGCCCTGGCTAGCCTTGAACTTGTGATCCTCTTGTTGTGGCCTCTGCAGTAGTTGGGGTTTTTGACATGTATCACTGTGCAGGGTTCTTTGGAGCTTTTTTTCAGCTAGTGAAGACCACACACATGGTTCATCTTCTGTTCTGGGATGATAGCTTTCTTTGGTAGTAGGAAATGGGGAGAATCCCCCAAAAGCATTAAGAGTAAGTTTTGCTTAGTGTCATAGTGGTTGCCCTGTAGAGTTTGTATACACAGAGAGAACACGAGTCCTGTAACGTTGATTATCTAGGACAGAAGTTAGGACAGCCTTTTAACTTGTCTTGCCTCTATCCTAGTGATTAGCAACATCCAAATTAGGCTGCAGTTACTTTGCTTTCGTGCTTTTTGTGTTTGTTTATTTATTTTGGGTTTTTGGTTTAAAGAGGCAAAGACCTCAATGGTTAAAGCAAAATTTTATATTATCTTCAGCCTTCATGTTAATAATCAGTTATTTATTGGTTGATTTCAAAATTTCAGAGATGGGGAGCATGCTGTAGTTCTTAGAGCTTTAACCCTGAAAAAGAGAGAACGATGATGATAGTGTAAGTTTTTAATGGCTCTCTTTTTTTTTTTTTTTTTTTGGTACTGGGGATCAAACTCAGGCCCTTGTGCTTGCAAGGCAGGCGGTGGAACCACTGAGCTGAATCCCTGGCACCCTATGGCTTTCATTTTTAAAAAATGTATATTAAATAGTAGTATACACTTAAAATCCAGCACTTGAGAGGCTGAAGCAGGATTGTGAATTTAAGGCAAGCCTAGGCTACATAGTTCAAGGTGAGCCTAGGCTATGTAGTAAGACCCTGTCTCAAAAACAGAAAGCTAAATTACTTTTTTAAGTGATAGCGTAAAACTATAAAAATCACACATAGTATGGGGGGTGTGATGCTGTTTTTTTTTTTTTGAGTGCTTATGTGTTATGTGTATATTCATTGCAAGTATAATATTTGTTTAATCCTTTTATGGCTTGATGAAGTATGGTAATATTTCCACATTCAGGTGAGGAAATGGGAGCGATTCAGTCTTTTTTACAACATCCCATAATCTGACCTAAGCACTTGTACTCTCACTGTTGTCTGCTCAGTTTGGTGACCGAAGGCCTCACTGATCTGTGTACCTGGACCTGGGGTGTGTCCCCGGGCACTTGTCCCAAGACAAGTTGGTGGTCTTAACTTGGTTGATCGTGCTGGCTCTTGATCTGGGTAAGTTCCGTGTTGCATAGCTGAACAGTTACTGACTGCAGATTTCTCTTCTCTGCTGATTTACAGGTGAGCATGTTAGGGAAGGGATTTGGTGATGTTGGTGAGGCTAAAGGTGGCAGTACCACAGGCTCCCAGTTCTTGGAGCAGTTCAAGACTGCTCAGGCCCTGGCTCAGCTGGCAGCTCAGCACTCTCAGTCTGGAAGCACCCCCACCTCCTCTTGGGACATGGGCTCGACGACACAGTCCCCGTCACTGGTGCAGTATGGTAAGAAGATGAAAAGTGACTGTAAAGAGGCTAGCAGGGAGTGGGGAGTGTGTCTAGGAGTAAAGAGAAGGGTAGGTTTTTCAGATACCTTCTAGCCACATGGGCTGAGTTCAGGAAGTCAGGAAAAAATACAAATTCGAGGATATATAGTGGCACCTCGGTTAATTCTTTCCCTGATTTGGGTGAATTGAATTCTGTGACCAAAATTGTGCAAAGAATTAAGTTTGTGAACCAAGGTGCCACTGTATGTCTCTTGTCAATTTCAGACATACACATAGTTGCAGTTTTTTGTTGGTCTGGGAATTTGGGGGGATTCGCCTTAGATTTTTCAATGTTTGGAAATAACATACTGCCTTTATTTAGATCCATGGGTTTAGTCATCTGAAGACCTTATGCTTTAAACTTGGCCAGTTTGTAGATTGCTGTCTTACATAAGAAAGGTAGTGATGTCGATTAGCTGTCCTTGGGAACAAAGAAGATGCAGTGATTGCCACCCATGGAAATGAAGTCAGGTTTAGTCCCAGAAGAGGACCTGTTCGTATAAGGCTGTGGTTCCTGAGGGCCTTGTCCATCGTGCTAGTGTAGGGCGTTAGCATTTCCTCACATGTGATGGAATTTCTTTACAGATTTGAAGAACCCAAGTGATTCAACAGTGCACAGCCCCTTTACAAAGCGCCAGGCTTTTACCCCATCTTCAACCATGATGGAGGTGTTCCTTCAGGAGAAGCCTCCTGCAGTGGCTACCTCCACGGCTGCACCTCCGCCCCCTTCTTCACCTCTGCCAAGCAAATCCACCTCAGCTGCACAGATGTCTCCTGGGTCTTCAGACAACCAATCCTCCAGTCCTCAGCCGGCTCAGCAGAAACTGAAACAGCAGAAGAAAAAAGCATCCTTGACTTCTAAGGTACTGAACCTTCAGTCAGTACTGTCTTCAGACAGTGGGGTACGGGACTTGGGAATTTGGATTTTAAGGATAAGCTTGTTAATTTGAGGTTGAAGTGAGTGTTTTTTATTATTCTACAGTAAAGTCATACTAAGCCATTCCATTGTTTTTTCTTTCACCTTTTTGCATAGATCCCTGCTCTGGCTGTGGAGATGCCCGGCTCAGCAGATATCTCAGGGCTAAATCTGCAGTTTGGGGCATTGCAGTTTGGGTCAGAGCCTGTTCTTTCTGATTATGAGTCCACCCCCACCACGAGCGCCTCTTCAAGCCAGGCTCCAAGTAGCCTGTATACCAGCACGGCCAGGTAGGGAAACTGGAGCTACGAGCACTGTTTTATTAGCTTTTTCATTCTAATTTTGAGAGCTCTGACTGGGTCAGACAAAAACGGTCAATCTTAGCATTTTTGTTGTGTGCTTTTAAAATATTGTTGAAGTCATTAACTTTAATCAGAAATGTGCGGCTAGAACATTAAAGCTCAGTTTTGAAATGTGTGTACAACACTTCTAGTAGAAAATAAGTTGATATCTGCCACAGCTGAAAGTGCTTTTGGTGCTTTTTAGTCCTTTGGTGTAGGACTATGCCTGTGAAAGTTGTAACTGAATTTCTAAGAAGATAGCATACATATCTTACAAAAATTTCATGAAGTTGGGCAGATAATTCTGATTATGGGCATTCATGCCTGTAATCCCAACATGCTGGGAGCTTGAGGCAGGAGGATCATAGGTTCAAGATAACACCTGGCAACTTAGTGAGACCCTGTCTCAAAAATAAAAGGCTGATGGCTGGGGATTTACAAAGCTCAGTGGTGCTGCTGCCTGCCTGGAAAGCACAAGGTCCAGAGTTCGATCCACAGTACCCCCTCCAATTAAATAATCTACCTCAGTGGTACAGAAACTCTGGGTTTGTTCTCCCTAACACCAAAAAATAAAAGGATTTTTGAATGGCAATTGAAAGAGTCTTTTCTGTCTCCTCTAGTAATGGTCAGGAAGGAAAAAGTCTTGTAGGAAATTCAGGGTAATAGGCTATTTTTCCTCAGTCCTGGGGAGTTTGAACATATAAAAGTTTGGCCCTAGTCTAGATCTGTTGAGTCATTACTGCCTTTGATACATGTGAATATTTTTTATTCTTTCTCTCAGGATACCAGTAATCTTTAAATCTAATAGATTGTCAAGGAAGCCTGACACTCAGAATTCCTTAAAATGAGTAAGGAAAAAATGGTTTCTGCTATGTCAGAGGCTGAAATTATAATGTATTGAAGTGTAATCTTTCTGCTGACCTTTAGCTTCTTTTTCTCATTTAAAAATGTTTGTTGGGCTAGGGAATTAACTCGAGGTCCACCGCCTGCCTTGCAAGCTCAAGGACCTGAGTTTAATCCCCGGTACCCCCTGCCCCCCCATTTTTTTTGTTTGTTTGTTTGTTTGTTTATTTTGCAGTGGTGGGCATTAAGCCCAGGACCTTGCTGCTGAATTACATACATGCCCCCCCACCCCCGCTTTTTTAAGACAAGGCCTTGCTAAGTTGCCCTGACTGAAACTTGTGGTCCTCCTATCTCTGCTTACAAGAATGATAGCATAATAGGGATGTACACTGTACCCAGTGTTTAGCTTTTTCAAAATTACAACAACAGAATGTAGAAGGGATTTTTTTTTTTTTTTAGAGGTTAGGGTTTTTTAGATTCTGTTCTTTTTAGTTTTTTTGAGATAGGGTCTCACTATGTAGTTAAGACTGACCTGGAACTCACTGTGTATCTCAGGCTGGTCTCGAGCTCACACTGATCCGAGTGCTGTGATTACAGGCGTGTGCCACCACGCCCGGCTAGATTGTTCTTAATTTGGATTCTTGGCACAGTACAATACAAAAATTCCTACATTTGTTAGGCAAAAACTGTGACAGTTTCTTTTGTTGCTGGAAAGTTTCTGATTGAAATATACTTATTTCATTAGTATATTTCCAGTATTTTCTTCAGTATTAGTGCATCTTCTCTGAGTTTTTTCTTTTCTTTTCCACAGTGAATCTTCATCTACGATTTCATCTAACCAGAGTCAGGAATCTGGTTATCAGAGTGGCCCAATTCAGTCAACAACCTATACCTCCCAAAACAACGCTCAGGGCCCGCTATATGAACAGAGATCCACACAGACTCGGCGGTACCCCAGCTCCATGTCTTCATCACCCCAAAAGGACCTGACTCAGGCAAAGGTAGTGGCTTCCTGAGCCCCTGGGCAAGTGGATAGGAAAATAGTGGGGAAAGTCACTTAAGTATTAATGATTTACATCTCTGGAAGTGGTGCTGAGAAACCTTGGAAGTACTGATTGAAAAGCTGAAGCAAGGTACTTTTCTGTGGTTGGCAAAATAGAAGTTCTTTTCAGCAAGGCTGGAGACTCAGCTGGAAACCATTGCAGTAAAGAGCCACTACCTTAGTAGAATCAGTCTTAAACACCTGACTTCTCCTCTTGGAAGGTTAATTGCTAGACTTTGGAATGCATATCAGTAGATCTTGCCTGGCTATGTCTTGCCATGGTGAGAGGTCAGCATATGCAGAGGAGAGTGGAGTGATGTCAGGTGCAGCCAGCAGGATGGGTGGTTCAGCTAAGCAGTCACACTTCCACTGGGTTTGGAGATTGGACCTTTCCTGGTCTTCCCGTGTGAAGGGTTGCCTTTGGATGGTTGCACAGGTTTGATATATTTGGCTTAGTTATTTTTCGTTTTGTTTCTTTGCATGGTCTCATTGTATTAATCCCTTGGTTAGCTAGCAGTTTCTCCTAAAGATTTGTTTGCTAAAATTAAGCTGAGTTGGTACCAACTTCCCCTATTTATATAAGTTTGTTCTTGCTCCTGTTTCTTGTACCAGAATGGCTTCAGTTCTGTGCAAGCCACGCAGTTACAGACCACGCAATCTGTTGAAGGTGAGTGTACTCCAGGCTTTAAATCTTCTTATTTGTAATGTCTTTTTCTCTCAGTACTTTTGCATTTCTTAAAGTGAGAGGAGCTGTGGTGCAGTGATGAAATGTCATACTTATAATCTTAGCTTGGTTCTAGCTTGCTGCTTAATTGCAAACCATCTTAAGTTTCAGGTATTCTACCTTAAAATGGTGGTAGTTTCAGTAGGTTCCTTCACTGGACAAATAAAATACAGTGGTAGCTAAGTGTGGTGATGCACACCTGTAATCCCAGCACTTGGGAGGCTGGGCAGGAGGACCATTAATGAGTTCACAGCCAGCCTGGACTACATAGTGAGGACCTGTCTCAAGCAAAATACATTTTGTGAAATGCTTTACTTTTTTTAAAAAAATTATTTTTATTTATTTATTTATTT